GACTAAGAAAGGGGACATCCGACCTGCTCTCAGGTGTATATTCCTGGCAGACTTAGGCCCTCATGAAACACACCCACTCGGATCACAGCCATTCATATAGTTTACCAGTTTTATAAGCGCACTCCAAAAAGGGTTATTGAGGCATTTACCTACCTCATGAAACAGAATTTCCATCCTCCAGTAATGTACACAAAGCCAGGCAAGGTATCCTTGTACATTCTCCTAGACCTTCAAGAAAGGTAATGAACATTTGGCTCAAGGGCCTGGCAAATACTTCAGACTCCACAGAGAAATATAATGGAATTATTTCCAAAGTGATTGTGACTCATAAACACAGTAGAGTTAGCAAGCAGTTTATATATTGACTTAGCACATGGTTAAGTGTTGATGCTAAAAATTAATTTAGCTCTGGCCCATGTGACTCAGTTGGTGGGCATTGTCTGGTCCTGTTCCCAATCAGGGCATACTATATGCCCAGGTTGCTGGCTGGATCCTCAGTAGGGGGTGTGCAGGAGGCAGCTGATCAATATTTCCCTCTCTCTCTTCCCGTTGCTCTCTTTCTAAATTCAGTAAAAACATGTTTAAACAAATAAAAATGAATTTAATTATAATGAAAACAAACAGTCCATAACTATTTTCTGCCAATTATGTGTCTGCTTCTGTTCTAGATGCTGTGATACACAGATAGGGCAGACATCCCTCTTCATCGAGGTTCATGTTAATACTGGCTGCTTTAAGCACCCTTGACTTAAATAGGAAAATACAAAATTCTCAGGTGTCTCTTATTCACAAATGTTACACTGTGACTAAAGGACCCCATGTCATGCTCCATAACTCACCTCGTTGGGATGTTCTAGCCAGTTTGATAAATCCATAATCTTGTGTGGGAGACAGTCTTATCCAGAGGCAAGAAGAGTAAGTTAAACATCTCATGTTAAAATTCATGCTACATTTCATAAATATGCCAAATGTTTCTTTTATATTACTGTGACTTTCTTAAGTCCCTCTACCCTTTATCTTTGTTAACAATGCACACCTTTTCATAGCTTAAACATGTCAACAAAATCTATTCTATATAACTGTCAAAAGCATAAAAGGTAAGATCTGTAAAAAACAGACTGTGGAGAGTGGCAACTGTGTTTGGACAGGTTCAAGCCTCGGACTAATGAGAGGGCACAGTCCTCTCATTGCCAAGTCAAGTCCCAGCTTGGAGGGCAGAGCCTTCCCAGCACAATTATAGCCAACAGCTATAGTTGTAAGCTTGAACCTATGGTCTGAACACGTGGCTCCACGTGTCTGAGTGATATGGGCTTGATAGAGTTCAGGTGCATGTAATTGAGTAGGATCGAAACCCATGAGAATGTTGTAAACATCTTGACCATGCCCTTACTTTGCTTTGTGGAATCTGGCTATAAAATAAAGACACAGCTTGTGGGCGCTGGCACTGTTTCTCCATTTTATTTTTTTTTTATTTTTTTTTTAAATATATTTTATTGATTTTTTACAGAGAGGAAGGGAGAGAGATAGAGAGTTAGAAACATCGATGAGAGAGAAACATCGATCATCTGCCTCCTGCACATCTCCTACTGGGGATGTGCCCACAACCCAAGTACATGCCCTTGACCGGAATCGAACCTGGGACCTTTCAGTCCGCAGGCCGACGCTCTATCCACTGAGCCAAACCGGTTTCGGCATGTTTCTCCATTTTAGAGCAGCGTCCCACCTAGACCCAGCTCATTCTCTTGTCTGTCTTTTCTCCATCCTTCACTGCCCCCTCTCAGGGTCACTGAACCTGGCTGAGCTGGCGTGGCACATAAGGCGCCCTGGGGCTGAGTATGCCATGGCCGTGCCGGCTCGCCACAACAGACTTTCAAGATAATGTAGTTCAGCTCCCTTCTTTTGCCAATGTAGAAAACTAAATCCCAGGGGGATTCAAGGTCCTACAGAAATAGGGGAGGTTTTAGGACAAAGACCCCAGTGTTCCTATTCCCATTCCCATTATGTTTGTTTTCTTCCTATCAGTGAACATCCCGAGTGAGCTGGAATAAATTTCTCCAACTCCAATATCAGTCTTTGGCTTGTAAGAATTACAGAAATTGCTTTCCTATTACATTATTTTTGAAAAAAGAAAATTGGTGCTATTGTTTGTATCCATCTAGATTTTTTTGGTTCATGATCCATATTCTCTGGCACTGACAGGAACTATCAAGACTGTTTCATTCAGCGTGAGAGTTGTCTAAAACATTTTACTACAGATAGCTTTAAAAAAATGTTCTTGATTTCAGAGAGAGGAAGGAAGAAAGTGAGGAAGAGAGAAAAAAACATCAATGATGAGTGATAATCATTGATCAGCTGCCTCTTGCAAGCTCCCTACTGGGGATTGAGCCTGTAACTGAGGCAGGTGCCCTGACTGGGGAATTGAACCCTGACCTCTTGGTTCATGGCTCAACATTCAATCACTGAGCCACACCAGAGGGCTACACATAACTTTTAAAGGAAAACTAACCTCACTTCACAAACTAACGTTAACAGAACTAGTATTAAACTGAAAAATATCATCATGGCACTAATTACCCTAACAGCTATTCTTTTAGTTGGCCCAGACACTATCATGATTTGTTCATGATTTACTTATTTTATCCTGTTATGAAGTAGATGCCATTATTATCATTTTTGTTTTATAAGCGAGAAACTTGAGGCTTTATCTCTGCAACTTACTTGCTTAGAATTCTGTAAATAACTTGTCCAAGATTGTTTAGCTGACTGAAGACTCAATCTGTCTCTGTCCGATGCATTGCCCAGTCTTTACCATTGTATAGTTATCATAACTCCCTTAACTTTGAATTCCCAAAGTTCATTCGCTACTTAGTTTGTTAGAAGTTGGATACATTTCATTCTAAAACAATGCTATCAAAGTTCACTTAATTCATAAAGTAGTCCAAATAATATAATTTAGCTATATCACATTTAAAAAATTGCCCCAGGCAGCATGGAGGGACCTGGAGAGTATCATGCTAAGTGAAATAAGTCAGAGCAAGATTAGAATCACATGATCGCTCTCATGTGTAATCTAAGTAACAAACTGATGAACAAACAGAGTGGATCCTGAGATGTGGAAGCGTGGAACAGAGTGTGGAATCTCAGAGGGAAGGTGGGGGAGGGTGGGTGGGAGGGAGGTAATCAACCAGAGACCTTGTATGCATATATGCATAACCCATGGACACAGACAATAGGGTGCTGAAGGCCTAGGGCAGGGAGGGCGGGAGCAGGCTGGAGGGGGTCAGTGGAGGAAAAGGGGCACATATGTAATACTTTCAACAATAAATAATTATTTAAAAAATAGTACAATAAACTTTAATACAAAAAAATAAAAAAAATACTCTCAGGGATCAAAGTGCCTGACTCCAAGTTACTTCTTATGATTCTAAGTCTAGAACAACTTGACCTTCTAGAGTGGTTTCTAAATGGACCTATTTCATTGTTGCTCCTCAGATGGGAGATCTGGATTTGGGGAGATGTGTTCAGTGCACAGACGACAGTCAGTGTGCTCCAGTAATGGTTTATCATTCTTCCGGTTCTCGGCGTACACCAAGTCCGTTCTGCAAGCAGCTGGGTTATTCCACAGTGCCCTCTGGAATTTCAAACTTTACAGAGCTATTTTAACATGAACATCTTCCCTTGAATGGAGCTCAAAGTCAGTGCAATCCATTTCTTCCAGTGGTGCGGGCTATTCCAACATATTTAACAAATCTCACCTTTTTTCTATTTACGTGGCATTTTCTATAAGTATTTCTATATATGTTTTCTATAAGAAATTAACAGGAGTAACAGTTACCCCTGTTATAGGAGAGACAGGTAGAAAGATGGAAAAGCGTATAATACAAAGGCAGTGTAGCTTCTGCCTTCATAGGGAGCTATCTTTTGGCTTCATGTTCTTAAAACTATTTTTCTCCTCTCTCAAAAGAAAACACAAATGTTAATCCTTCACTGTAACTGCCCAATTGTTGATTTATTTATAGTCAAAGGAATTAATAAAGCAAAGTGTAGCATAGTGATTTACGTGAGCAGTTTCTCATGAATTATCATTTCTCTGTTTTTGGAAGTTTGTTTTGTAACTGATTTTTTATCTCTTGCATAATCAGGATTCTGTAACTGAAATAAGTAGACCTTAGAATGAGAGGTTTTTTTTCTGTGCTGATGCCAACAATGAACGGGGCTTACAAATACACTTGAGTTTCCTCACCCCTCTGATGGTCCATATAATTCAATCCCGTAAGTGTGTCTGGGGGGAAGGCCCTACTATGCGCAAGCCTAGCTGTGAGATGTTCAGTAAATATCTGTGGAGTCGCAAATCACTGCGGTGAAATAGCATAACCGAACCTGCTCCACAGCATCTGTGACAGTGAGTTTGAAGAGTGGGAACTGGAAACGTCTGAGCTTTCAGCTGATCACAATCAACTCGGAACACGTCAGAGCAGCTGGTGTTCTGTTACTCAGAATCAGTCACCCAGCGTCGAAGCACCTCGTGCTCCGTTATTTCTCTTTACAGTTTCACAGGAGAGATTTAAACCAGCATATGTCCTTCCCATTCGCCTAAATCCCTGCTTTGCTTTCATAGCCTAATACCAGCGCAGGAAACTGCCTGCAATATAAAAAAAAAATTAAATAAGTAAAGGCTAGCATTAAAATGATTTTTTTAATGGATGTGGTTCCATTTGTGTGCAATAAACCATATGCTCAAATAGAATGCCTCAGAAGCAGCGCGGAATTTTAAGGTTGCATTATGGAACAGGAATCATCCTGCCTCAGCGACGTCCACATAGGACCACGGTGATTGCCAGTTTCCATCTAAGTTCATAATCTTTAGTTTAGCAATTATACAAATGATGACATCTTGGGGAAATCAGTGCGAAGTTAGTAAATGAACGTTCCCGGTTGTGCGTCCTGGTTTCTGACACGAGTTGTCGCTTTGTCCCGACAGGAACCTCTTACACCATTCTTTGGCGAAGGCGATTCAGCGGTGGTGACTGCCTCCAACCGGACGCTCTACAAATTATCATCTCTGGACTCCCAGCGGACACCCTGCCGGAGGCAAGAGCTGCCAAGCCAACTGGAACTGTGCCTTTTCTGTTGTCAAGGTTCTTTTCTTACACAGGAAAAAGAAAGAAAAAAAAAAGATGAAGTTGGGCAAAGTGGAGTTCTGCCACTTCCTGCAGCTGATCGCCCTTGTCCTGTGCTTTTCTGGGATGAGTCAAGCAGAACTCTCGAGGTCCAGCTCAAAGCCCTACTTCCAGTCGGGGAGGCCCAGGACCAAGCGCAGCTGGGTGTGGAATCAGTTCTTTGTGCTGGAGGAGTACATGGGTTCGGACCCCCTCTATGTCGGAAAGGTAGGGCATGTGGCCTTTCGCAGTCACTCGTGGTTACTGGGAATGTCTGTGGTTGGATGGAGAACTGCTCATTTATGCTTTGGTGTCAGAGAACATGAAACTCTCACTCTGTCGTCTTTAAATTATGAGCAACTCAAACCTACTCTTTCTAGAGGTGGTCTGGTTTTATGGATTTTTTAAGATTTGCTTTTTAAAATTGTTTTTTGGTTAAAAATGAATATGAACAGAAGTCAGTTAGAAGTGATACTCATTAAACCAATGGTAGGAGTTTGTGGTGCATTTGTTAAGTGGCCAGGTGGGAGCCAAACTGAACGTTATCTTTCACAGCTCTGTTCTATTTGGGCAGGATTTTTCATTTGAGTGCCTTCCGCACTGAGGGGCCCATCAGGAGAAGGGCCTTTCCCTCAACATGCTCATATCCGGTCCAGTGCCTAGCATGCTGTAGGGCTGATACTTACATATTTGCAAAGGTTTCCTAAATTTCTCAATTTGGTGATGAGCACTGGTGAATGTTTCCTTCATAGAGTAAGTTTTGACAAGAAATCTATACATCTGCGTTTTTACTTGGCACTTTGTCAGCTCTAGACCGCTGTTCCTAATAAAGCTGATGAGTTTACGCCTGAGTGAATTTCCAACTTTGAAAGATCGAGGGAGAATCTTTGCTCTTTATTTCATGGGTTCTGTTTTCATTTGAACACACCTTACATAAAGGTGAAAATCTGTTTTTGTTGATGGGTATCTATATAAGTCAAGGTGGTTTGTGTTGTATTTACTGTTCTCATTGAATGCCTCTATATTTTAGAAATAATGATGGACATTTATGGAAAAGAGATTTGAGTAAGTTCAAGGTTTCTAGGTTGTGGATTAGAACTTTTTTTTTTTTTTTTTAGCCCAGCCATAGCATTTTTTTTTTCACTAAGAAAAGATGTGTTAGTACACACGTGTTTTATGTGCATATATATCCTTAGAGCCAGTACTATTTTAGTTGTAGTATCTTATACAGTGTATATGCACTAAATTCCTCTCTCAGCTTTTTCTGTTTTCTTATAACAAAGTGAGAGCAGTCACCATTATGCATTGTTAATGACTAAGAATTTAGAACTTAATTTCATTTTTAATGAACATTTAACAAATTCATCAAACTTTTTTCAGTGGACAGTTTTATATAACATTCAGCTGATTCAGAAAGAGTTAGTAGTGATTAGGTGAAATCATACTTTTATGAGAATATAACATTTTCTAAAGACAACTAAAATATTTCCGTTAATTTCGTTTTAAATGGGGTTGCCACAGTGAAGTTGACATTTTGAAGTAAACATAACTTAAAAAATTTTAAAGCACCCTTCTTGTACATTTTAGTCTTCACATAATAATTCAGAATGCTTGTATCTAAATAATCCTCATAAGTCAATTTAAAATTATGAAAATACATGCCGCTAAGGTTACTTAAATTTCAAATGCTTATGAAGCTGTTGGGCATAGTTTTTATTGTTTTTCTCAGAAATTGTGGGGTTCCTTGATTAGATAACAAGAAATATTCTGTGTTTCCCTTTCAGTTAATCAGAGACAATCACTTGACATTGTATGGGATGAAAAACAAGTTTGTGTTTATTTCTTGTCTGATGTATATTGGGTGTTCCATACAGATGCTCACAGTAAAATGTTCAGGATGCAAATGGGTTAAACACAAAAACTCTTTAAATGACTAAAATTTAGAAAAAATGCAGTGAGATAATTTGAGATGGAGAGTTAGGGGGAAATATAGTTAGTGGGTGAATGATTCATTCCTTATACACAGGGATTTCAAATGCCAGAGAAATCATGTGTACGTATATTTTTTAGGCCTTTGAATTTGGAGACCATGGTAAGAGCTGATGGCCAATGAGATGAATAAATAAATAACATTTGGTCATTAAGACATTGAGGATAATTAAGTCACAAGATGACTTGTGACCTTATTATTTTAGCCTATTTACTGGTTTTATTCAACATGATAACTCAAGACCAAAGTAGAACAGTTTGTTGAAGGGACCAGGAGTGCTTGTAGAACCTTCACCACAAGATCTCCAGGGCATGGACATCTGGGCTATGTTAGAATCTGACCTTTATCATGAGAATCTCACTCTTACCTGGTGATATGAGTTAATAAACTGCTGACCGGAAAGGTATAGACTTAAGGAAAGAGTCATTAGTTATTACTCTGATGGAATTCTTTTTTTACTGAGGTATAATTGACATCTAACATTAGTTTCAGGTGTATAACAATGATTCAACATTTGTATGTATTGTGAAATGATCACCACAATAAGTCCAGTTAACACTCATTATCATATATAGTTACAGATTTTTTTTTTCTTGTGATGAGAATTTTTAAGATCGACTCTCTTAGCATCTTTCAAATATGCAGTACAGTGTTATTAATGACTAGAGGCCTGGTGCACAAGTTCATGCATGGGTGGGGTCCCTCGGCCTGGCCAGCGATTGGGGCTGATCTGGGCTGTCTCGCCCAGTCCCAATTGGGACCGATTGGGTTGGCCAGCCTCGGGGAGGGACTGTGGGAGGTTGGCCGGCCATAGGAGGTTGGCTGGCCATAGGAGGTTGGCTGTGGGAACGCACTGACCACCAGGGGGCAGCTCCTGCATTGAGTATCTGCCCCCTGGTGGTCAGTGTGCATCATAGCAACTGGTCGTTCAGTAACCGGTTGTAACAATCACTTAGGCTTTTATATATATAGTCACCATTCCGTATGGAGTTCTGTTTTAAAGAACAATAGTGCGCCTTTCCCCAAGAGTGTTTCTTAGTTGCCATCATGCCTGTCGCCCTGTCCTGTTATAGGAGTCCCTCCTTGTCTCCCCTGAACTGACTGTTAATTCACAGCCATCTATCGCATTGAATCGCACTGCACTTTTCTAAGTCCAGCCTTTTCCTCACCTTGGCATTTCTCACCTAATGTCCTCCAACTAGCTGACAAAAAATGTGTCTGCAAACCACCCGGCCTCTGTTCCAGGCATTAAGTGGTTTTCATCTCTCCTAACCATAATGGGCTGCCAGCGATTGCTGCGCTCCGGGCCATTACTTTCCCTGAAATGCGTGCTTCGTGCCTCTTCCACAGTCGGCTTCTCTAGCTGTGACCATCACTCTTGTCTTCCCTGCTACTCCCTTTTCTTCCCTGCTTATTCGGGGAGAATTTATTCCTATTACCTCAGTCAGCATCAGATGTGTAGACATTCAGCGTGGGATCCACTCAGCTTTCAGGTCAGCTTGCTGGAACGTGTTGGTGAGCATGCTCAATGCAGCCGATTACACCTGAGCAGTATCTCTCACCAAGAGATACTCTGTCTCTTGATAACTAAAGCTGGGTTTGGTGTTCCAGAAAAGGAATGTTCCTCCTGAAAAGAGGTTGTGTTTAAAAAAATGAGGTAGGAATTAGATTCCATAACTAGGCAGATTTATATTAGATACACACAAAGATAATAATGAATCCCAAATATTTATTACTTGGTTAGGGAAAAGCCTACTCATCGTGGTAAAATTTACATTTTATAGATTTTAGAGGGGAAAACCAGCAGACATGCCCTCTCAATATGTAGATTACCTAAAGTTGGCACCTATCTTAGAAGAAAGCAATGGCAGTGTGTTTTTCCTACGCACGTGTAGAAATCCCCTTTTTACAATAGCCCTACAACCAGAGTGAATTGTGAAGACACTTGTTCTTACCTTGTTACTTTGCAATAGAACTGGGAAACGCCCGGTGGGAATTTGGGCATGGATCAGCTCTGTGGATCTAAATAAGTTCAGATCCTCAGACATACTTTTTACTTTTTGGCAGGTGTTCTTAGCTCTTACTGTACTTCAGTATACTAGTAGCTCTGTGCACTTCCTCCACATAAAATCAACAGTTCAGTTTTTGTTTGGTTTCTTTTCAACCATAGCAAAAATAAAATACATCTGATTTTGTCACTAAAATGCACAAACTTGCCATAAATTCAGTTTAATAGTGCCCATTTTCTCTTCAAAGTTATCTTAGGTTACAAATGGAAATTATCATTACCTAAGGCTTCATCAGTGAAACTGCATAACTGCGAGTTGGAGGAGAGGGGCTTACTGTTATAAACCTAATGAAAAACTAGATAATCTAGATTGGCTCAGAATTTTTTGATTGTCTATCCATACTGATCAAAATATTTTAAAATGCTATCTTCTTGAACTCTTTTATTTGTATTTACTTGTCACCCATTTTGTGATGGGAAAAGCAAAAATTAAAAAAAAAAACACAGGTCTATGCTAGTCCTGTTTTTACATTGTGTTTATGTTGAGATTGAAAGTGAAAAATGAGATAAACTCAAGTGATGATACTGGGCCTCTGTGATTGTTTGACAAGCTTTGCGTGCAGTGCTCATTGACATGGAGTCCCAGAATCTGCAGCAGTCTCTGTAGCTCACCAAGATAAATGACAGAATTAGACAAGCAGCAGGACAGTCTATGCTCAAGCATAGATAGATAAGTGCTATATTGGGAGAAATTTCACCCTAATCTGCATGATTCTTGTATGATTTATATTGATTATCTGTCATCGTAATTATGATCACTGGAGGGAAACAGTAGTTTCTCTAAATATGCTTAACACTATATCCTCCAAGTTCTCCTTTGCTGCTGTCCGGCCTATCCCTTTCCGTGTTCACTTACATCCCCCTCCCCAGTTTCCTGTCTTCTTTTAGTGCTTACCTAGTACCTCCTCTGTGGTAGGTGTTGTGCTAGATGGGAGAGTTTAAAGAAAACAAGCTCCTCTTCATAAAATTCACCATCTGGTTGATAAGCCATGCGGGTAACCAGATGGCAGTGGAAAGCAGTAAATTCTATAGCTAATCTACATCTGTGGAGGTGGGTAGGAGGGAGGAATGGAGCCATGGATCCGTGAACAAAGGCTTGCATGAGGATATAAGATGTTCCTCTGTGATTTCATAATCCTTTTATACAATCTTCACATCAACACAGAAAAA